TCCTCGGGGTGTGCAACTCTGCTGTACTCCCCTCATTTCCTCCTAGTACGTGTCCCCCCAAATGAGCATAACAAGTGGGACATACGAAAAAAAAACAACCCAACATACAAAACTCTATTCTAGGCCCAATGCTTCTTTTATTTCCACCAGTATGTACTGACCAAAGACACTTATAACTCCATGTTCAATTGGAATTTTCTTAAATCCTCTTTACAACAACACTGCACGTTAAGGGTAGTTACATAAGGCAGATGAATATCGTTAACCTCCAAAGTTAGAACGTTGGTATCAAAAGATTATAGCTACGATTGTAATGTGCACTTCTACATTAATAAAAAAGATTTATTAAAAATTTAGAGCAAGTAATCGCTCCACTTCGTTTGTATTAGCTATGCCATTTCTGGTCTTTCTTTTCTTCTGCATTCACTAAATAGCATGCCACTGCCTTCTCTCTTTTCATACAGTATTCTTCACTTTTTAAAGAAAGATTTATTTATCTATGCATACAGACCTGGAGTACAAGCCAGAGGTGCAGGGGTGGTGAGAAGATTCACTAGAGACAGAGTGGGGAGCAGAACAGGCCGACTAAGTAAACTGCTGAAGGGAACAGCAGGTGGGTCAGAAGAGGTTTTCCACACCATGTGGGTCACCTCCTGCACCCCTGCTCATGCTGAATTGGCTTTAGCTTCTTAATGCTGTGTCTTAACCACTGTGCCACCAGGGAGGGCCTATTCTTCACATTTTTAAAATCTTATTATTTGCACAAAAGTTCTGTAAGTACTGGACAGTAGGGATTAAGGGTTTATTTCACAAATCTCTACAACTGATACATCTCCTCATCTCATCATAAAGCCCATCATGTAAGAAGAAAATTGAGTTGATCTTGAGGGTGATAATAGAGAAAGTTTAAACCTTTGGGATCACTTATACACTTTTCTTTTGTGTCAAACTCTGATATTGTTAAAAAAAAAAAAAAACAACCCTTTTATTACATTGAACCTAAAGGAAAACAGAACAATGCAAGCAGGCTTTTTTAAATTAAAGAAAATGTGTTTTTTAATTTCATTTCCCAGTTGGCCCCTGAAACAGTCCATTTTCACTGAGAACTGATTTAAAGAATATATGTCAATTTACACTTCAGATTGTGTGAATCTGAAGAGCTTTTTCAGAGCTTCTTTCACGTCTTTATTCCTTAGACTATAGATCATGGGGTTTAACATGGGGAACAGCACAGTGTAAAAGGTAGAGACCATTTTGTCCCTCTCAAGAGAATAGCTGGAACTTGGACGAGAGTAGATGTAGAGGATGGAGCCATAGTATAAGGTGACAGAGACCAGGTGAGAGGAGCAGGTAGAGAAGGCTTTGAGACGGCCCTGAGTAGAGCGGATTTTCAAGATGGCAGCAATGATGAACATATAGGATGCCAGGATGAGTACAGTGGGAGTGATGACGTTGGAGGCCAGAAGAAAGTATAACACGGCCTGGTAGCTCTCTTTCACATTACATGCCAATTTGATCAGGGGTGGGACATCACAGAAGAAGTCATCAATGACATTGTCACCACAAAAATCCAATGTGAATGTGTTGCTGGTGAGTATGATTGCATTGACAAAACCTCCAATATAAGAATATACAACCAAAGAGATGCACAAATTTCTTGACATGGCTTGAGCATAAAGGAGTGGGTTGGAGATGGCCACATAGCGGTCATAAGCCATGGCAGCCAGCAGGTAGCACTCACTGTAGGCCAGCCCAGCAGAGAAGAAGAACTGAGCCAGGCAGCCAGCAAAGGAGATGCTTTTGTCTTCAGAGATGCAGGTCACCAGGATCTTCGGAGCATACACAGAGGAATACCAGAGATCCAGAAAGGACAGGTTGCCAATGAAAAAATACATGGGCATGTGCAGCCGGGCGTCACTGCAGATGAGGACTATGAGGGTGGTATTTCCCATGACGGTGAGAGAGTACACGCCGAGGAACAGCACGAACAGGACCAGCTGCATCACGGGGTCTGTTGTGAAGCCCACCAGGATGAAGTCTGTGACTGTGTGATTGCTCCTTTCCATGCTTCAAAAAGACCTGACTTAAGGAAGCAGGAAAAGCTTAATTTTCTCAACTAATAGTAAAGGAGAACATTGTGATGTGCCTGTGAGGTGTGATCAAGGCTGCAGGTAAAGAGCCAGCGAGAGCTGAGGTGGAATCTTGCCTGACTTGGGCAGGTGATGTGTTTCTTGAGTCTCAAACTCTTTTCAATATAATGTATTTTACTTTAGGATAACATTAGTATTCTTAAGGGGTTTATTCATTTTTAAAGAAAGTATGTCTTGATTCCCGGGTGCCGTCTGGGCATTGGGCTATAGCAATGTGGGTGATAGGGTGACTTAGTCTATGGAAACTTTATTTAGATGAGAGAGATGCATACAAATAAACACATACAGAGATCTATTCAGTTAGTTTTAGTTGATATAAGATATTTAAAACTTAGTGACGGGGTAAAGACTAACTGGGAAGAGATAATTCAATTTAGACATTGAGAGAAAAAATTACCTTTTCCTTTCCCTAACAACAAAAGGACAACTTATCAAAGCCCATGAGACATAGAATACACACACACACACACACACACACACACACACACACACACACACACACATATATGTATATTATAAAGAAAGCTGAAAGACTAAGCCAGTCCAAGAGATGCCATATTGTCATAAGGGTTCATTTGAAGTAATGACATTGAACACAAAACAAAACAGACATAGAAGAGACACACCTTTTTCCTGAAATCAGAAAATGTAACTCTCATGTGTAAACCCCCTTTGGGTTTGCTAGGGGAAAAGAGCGTCTTTATTATCCAGAACAGGAAATTGAGATGAAAATAAACCTGTACAAACAGAGTTTGTTAAAAGAATTTCTTTTCTTTTTAATCCATGTCAGCGCATAAATGGTCACTTTCTTTCTTTCTTTTGACACATAAAATGGTTCTGTCATATTTTGTCTACCACTCACCATCAGTAGACATTCTATTGTTTCTTTTTTTGGGAGCAAACATGAACAATCCTGCTATGGACATGTTTTATATGGACATGTTTGCATTGATATTAAGAAGTTGCTTAGAGAAGTGCTGAGTTACATGGTGAATATAGAGTCTCTCTGTTGATGAACTACCTAACTTCCCAGTAACCCACCATATTTTAATCACATCCAGTTCATGTTTTTCCTTATTCTAACCAATACAAATTACTGTCCATATTTGTATCCTAGCCATCTTGGTGTGTGGGGGTTGGTATTGTGGTTTTCATTTCCATTTTCCTAATGACTAATGATGTTGAACATATTTTCATGTGCTTATTGACTATTTTCTTTGGAGAAATATCTATTCAAATCTTGGCTCATCTCTTGATGAGGGGTTTAGTCTTTTCATAGTTGAATTGTGTATTTGTACATATCCTGGAGACGAGTCCTTTATAGATGCACGAGTTGTAAGCATTTTCTCCTGTTCTCTCAGTTGCTTTTTAATTGATTGGTGGAATCCTGGATGTACAAAAGTCTTAATAAAGTCCAATTATCTCTTCTTCGTGCTTGCTCTTGTTCTGAGCCAAACTGTGATTCCTTCCAAGATTGCTCTTCTTTTTAAAGTTATCCTTACTTTTCTTTAGTTTACCTATCTATCTGAGTTATTTCTACACATTTGCTTCTTTTATACCCAACCTACTATAAAAACATTTATTTTTTCTTTGGTTCTTCATTTCCTTATTGAATTCTCATATTCACATAATACTTACATTCAATTTGTTTGTGTGTTTTTCTGCTGCTATTCTTATGACAATTTAATTCTCTGATAATATTAAGACAGAATTTTGCCTACCCTCTTCA